AATATAAAAGGATAGTGGGGGCGTGACACTTTAATACGGTTGTATGTTTAATTTCTACTTCTAGGTGCACTTGAACAAATACAATTTTTCAATAAATCTCATATTGCAGTAACTTTATTGTTGTTACTAGTTGTATGTTTACTTTCTATTTCTGAGTGCACTTAAACAAATATTATTTTTCAATAAAACTATCTCATAACGCAGTATAAACATTATTGAGTTGTGGACGGATAATATGCACGTCTCAACGAAGTCTAGCGTTGTGAAGAATCCACGCGAAAAAGTGATATAACCAGATTTTCCTTGTGTTGGACAATCTAATAGAAAACTGGTGATTTTGAATTCCCTATTTCTAAAAGAAATCGTAAGCACAAATGCGCAACTACCATGACAAACCTTACCCTATAGCTACACAATATGCATATGAATACATTGAACACAATGAACAGCCTTCCGAAGATGGAACAAGAGCTTAGTTATTAATTTAACAATATGACGAGAATTAAACTTACATAATCTATTAACAACCCTGAAACTTTCTATGTCTTCCTTTGGGAAAATATCTTCCTAACCCGGTGATGTGTTGAGTTAAAACCACTAGATGAAAATGAATATTCTTTCAGAGTAAGGGTTCAAATTTAGCTTGGATAGTGATTACAGCGAACAAACAAAGTATCCTTATTGATATATGTTTCCACTTAGTTAAATATTGTCGGGGATAGTGTATCAGATTTATAGCCTTACTAATAGTAATAAAATGCGAATTATAACGCTTGTTTTCAATCAAGTTTTTATTTCTCTGTCAACTTAAAAAATGGACAATTGGGCATTTTGAGCCGTAAACAACAAAAGCACACAATTACCAGCACATTATGACATAATATGCAGCATAGACATGGCTTCCAAATCCATTTTTCGTTAAAACATGATCGATATTTCACATCAATACATATTTCAAACCTGAACATTTTACTAATTTCCATATAACCTTTACCCTAAAATGTGGCAGCGGCATGAAATATATTTTCTCAAATATGACACAAAACAGTTTTATCGTAAATGTACGCAACAACAAAGAGAAAAAATACCTGGTGAAATTTCAGATGTTCGTGATTATAGATCAGATACACTATCCCCGACAATATTTAACTAAGTGGAAACATATATCAATAAGGATACTTTGTTTGTTCGCTGTAATCACTATCCAAGCTAAATTTGAACCCTTACTCTGAAAGAATATGCATTTTCATTTAATGGTTTTAACTCAACACATCACCGGGTTAGGAAGATATTTTCCCAAAGGAAGACATAGAAAGTTTCAGGGTTGTTAATAGATTATGTAAGTTTAATTCTCGTCATATTGTTAAATTAATAACTAAGCTCTTGTTCCATCTTCGGAAGGCTGTTCATTGTGTTCAATGTATTCATATGCATATTGTGTAGCTATAGGGTAAGGTTTGTCATGGTAGTTGCGCATTTGTGCTTACGATTTCTTTTATAAATAGGGAATTCAAAATCACGAGTTTTCTATTAGATTGTCCAACACAAAGAAAATCTCGTTATATTACTTTTTCGCGTGGATTCTTCACAACGCTGGACTTCGTTGATACGTGCATATTATCCATCCACAACTCAATAATGTTTATACTGCGTTATGAGATAGTTTTATTGAAAATAATATTTGTTCAAGTGCACTCAGAAATAGAAAGTAAACATACAACTAGTAACAACAATAAAGTTACTGCAATATGAGATTTATTGAAAAATTGATATATCTATGAATGGAAAAATTTTGACCAAGAAGTCTTCAACAATCTTTTATTGACACCATAAAGGAGTACAGCATTTAACAATACAAAAGTTAAGTTTCATGCAAAGATATGTTAAGAGCAACTTATTTTAAATGGGAAAAAATGCATATTATACAAGATCATACAATGAAAATATCTGATATCATTATAAAATACCTGTTGATAATTACAGAAAATGATACCCATGATCATTGATCACGGGACCGACATTTCACATAATATTATTGAATAAAATATTTTAATGTCTGTGATGTCACGGCAATCGAAATTGTACAATCTGGCTCATTGAGAGATCTGTCATTATATCCTTGTTGAATTACAAATTGGACCTGTCATCTCGTACATTTTCAAACTTTTGCATTATTTATCATTTTTGGCATTTGCTTTTTAATATACCTTTGACATAAACTATCGAAACATGACTCAAGTTCTACTCCTATTCCCACACCGGATACCGTTATGCAAATATTATGAACATGATCTAAGACAAGTATAAAAATAGAAGCTGTTATGGCTTTTACCAGTAGCTTGTCTTCAGGATATCTTATTGTTAATAAACTAAAAGCATGTACATAATATCGAACATAAGTCAATTTACGTCATGCTGATGTTTTGAACTTATCGTATCGTTTGCAGGAAAGCAAAACTAGAAGTTATCTTCGCTCATACATATTAACCTTTTGTGACCCCAAGCAGCATAACGAAATACCGATATTGTTCAATCTCAAATCAAAACTAATAAATCAAAACATTGTTCAATATTGCATTTTTCCAGTGCAACAAAGTATCCCATATTGTCTTTCACTGAAACTATCGAGACAATTGCATCTATGGTTGGAATCGTTTGAATACCAACAGACTAGATTCAATATCATTCTATAAATTTAATATATTCAAATATCATAAAGCACGCGACAGAATATAAAAGGATAGTGGGGGCGTGACACTTTAATACAGTTGTATGTTTAATTTCTACTTCTAGGTGCACTTGAACAAATGCAATTTTTCAATAAATCTCATATTGCAGTAACTTTATTGTTGTTACTAGTTGTATGTTTACTTTCTATTTCTGAGTGCACTTGAACAAATATTATTTTCAATAAAACTATCTCATAACGCAGTATAAACGTTATTGAGTTGTGGATGGATAATATGCACGTCTCAACGAAGTCCAGCGTTGTGAAGAATCCACGCGAAAAAGTAATATAACGAGATTTTCTTTGTGTTGGACAATCTAATAGAAAACTCGTGATTTTGAATTCCCTATTTCTAAAAGAAATCGTAAGCACAAATGCGCAACTACCATAACAAACCTTACCCTATAGCTACACAATATGCATATGAATACATTGAACACAATGAACAGCCTCCCGAAGATGGAACAAGAGCTTAGTTATTGATTTAACAATATGACGAGAATTAAACTTACATAATCTATTAACAACCCTGAAACTTTCTATGTCTTCCTTTGGAAAAATATCTTCCTAACCCGGTAATGTGTTGAGTTAAAACCACTAAATGAAAATGCATATTCTTTCAGAGTAAGGGTTCAAATTTAGCTTGGATAGTGATTACAGCGAACAAACAAAGTATCCTTATTGATATATGTTTCCACTTAGTTAAATATTGTCGGGGATAGTGTATCTGATCTATAGCCTTACTAATAGTAATGAAATGCGAATTATAACGCTTGTTTTCAATCAAGTTTTTATTTCTCTGTCAACTTGAAAAATGGACAATTGGGCATTTTGAGCAGTAAACTACAAAAGGAGCAATGCGATATAATTACCAGCAGATTATAACATATGCAGCATCGACATGGCTTCCAAATCCATTTTTTGTTAAAACATGATCGATATTTCATCTCAATACATATTTGAAACCTGAACATTTCACTAATTTCCGTATAACCTTTACCCTAAAATGTGGCAGCGGCATGAAATATATTTTCTTAAATATATATGACACAAAACAGTTTTATTGTAAATGTACACAACAACAAAGAGAAAAAATACCTGGTGAAATTTCAGATGTTCGTGATTATGTTCACAAGAATGGAAATGCGATCTAGACCACAATGTGTGACACTCTAGCTTTGAGGCCCGTGCCGTTTGAAATTCATGCAATTACTACTCCTAAAGTATATATTAGTGCATTAGTGCATGGACAATTTGAAGATATCACGGACGTCGTGTGGATTGCAAAAAAAATAGTATTGAACGAAGCATTTGACCTTTGAAGCAAATAGAGGAGACTACCGTTTGAACTTCTGCTACGTTACCAGACAAAGTGCTAATGAACTCGTATAATGTTGATCAAATTACCATTTCCCACGAACAGGTTTGCTTTTGAGCAAATCAAATACAATTACTTGAATTTGTAAGCTATTCAATAATTTAAGTGATGTCTGAATAAATAAAAGCATCGAGTGAATTTGGAATATCAGAATAAATAAAAGTGTTAAATGTTTTCGTCGACATAGGTCCTATTCTAATAAATGTGTTATGTAATATGTTTTGATACGCGTAACCATCAGAAAATATGTCAGGCGCAAAGTCATTACCCTATTATCCTATATATTACGGGAGATTATATTGTGTATGTTAGAGATGAGGAAATATTTTACATAATCACTCTTTTTTCTAGGCAATACTCCATTTCCCATTATTGGTATATATTTGTATTGCAAAAACTATCTATGAATAAAACAATTTTGACCAAGAAGTCTTCAACAATCTTTTATTGACACCATAAAGGAGTACAGCATTTAACAATACAAAAGTCAAGTTTCATGAAAGGATATGTTAGGAGCAACTTATTTAAAGGGGAAAAATGCATATTATACAAGATCATACAATGAAAATATCTGATATTATTATAAAATACCTGTTGATCATTACACAAAATGATACCCAAGATCATTGATCACGGGACCGACATTTCACATAATGTTTTTGAATAAAATGTTGCGCTCGATTCTATGTAGCCTGGTTACTTCTCACGCACATTAAGAGATTGGAGACTTCAAAAACGCGTCCCAATACCCCAGTCCTGACCCCAAACCTATATCGGTTAATTGTTACAACTAGTCCGTGCTTTTCAAGCAATTAAAGTCTGTAAACAGCGGTTAAAGTGCCGCCAGATTCTTCTGTGCCTTTCAAATGCTGCCCCAATATAATTCAACTTGAAATCGGTGAATATCTTTAATAACAATCAACAGACACTTCAAATCAAATCTCGAAACATGAATCAGGAAAATAGAACTTGCCGGGTACCGGAAACGGAACGTTGTTAATGGAACGTAACGTAAATCTTGATACCGGGTATGAGGAACGTAAAGGAACGTTGTTAATGGAACGTAACGTAACGTTGTTAAAGGAACGGTTTTCTGCCAAAACAACAGACAGAACTAAATAGCCCATATGGCACAATTAATCGAATATAACAGCACCACCATTTTTACAAGCAACAACAATTCACATTAATTAGCAGATAACCATATGTCACAACTATGTACAGATTAAATCACACAGGATAAAATAGTATTCACAATACTAAAATACAGAATAAATCATACAAGATAAAACAATATTTACATACCGAATGTTTAGGATCTCCAGGCAACTCAATTCAACAATTTATAATCCAAAGTAAATACAACTTAACTTATGTGACTAAATATAAAAAACAACAGTTATCATTCTATTTGGACTATAATACAACCCTAACCTGTATCCCTACATTATATTACAACTCCGTGATGAACCCTTGAATTTTTAAACCCAATTAATAATTTCAATTCGAATCGTTTATCCTAACCGCGAATAGTAAACCCAATATTAAACACGATAAACAACTCCTAGCGCAATAGATTACACTGGATACAAGACAGAAGGTGCCAACTCATCGAAGCAGCGTGGCGATAATTTAGAATTCCCGGGATTAATCGAGAAACAGGACTCTGTCGCAATAATGCTGCGTCGATACGTTTGCAACGTCTGCGTAACAACGTAAAACGTCATCAAATTAGAAACACGTTATGATTCTCGCTAACATTCCCCGCCCCAGATGTAGGAACGAAGAGTATACATCTTACAATTCAAAAAGAAAAAGTGAGAATCATCACCAATAAGTAATACAACTAACAATGAATTACTCATCAGCTCTCTGAATCATACAAAGTTTTGCTATTGGTCTTCTTAAAAACCCATGAGAAGTTTTGACAGTCACTTGTCTGACAGCTCCAAATTTGTCTGGTATAACTTCCATAATTCTGCCTGTCAGCCACTTCCCTCTTGGTATTGTGTTGTCAACCAGTAGCACAAGATCATTGACTTTGAAATTGTCTTCCTTCTTCAACCATTTATGTCGAGCTTGTAGATTGACAAGTACTTCTCTGGACCATCTTATCCAGAATTGGTCAGCCAAATATTGTATTTGACGCCATCTTCTTCTCGCATAACAATCTTTCTTGTCAAATATTCCTGGTGGTAAATTTGCTTTATGCTTCAGCAACAATAAATGATTTGGTGAAAGTGGTTCTTCATCCAAAGGATCCATACTAATAGGTGTAAGTGGTCTTGAATTCAATTGACTTTCAACTTCACAAAATATAGTAGACAACGCTTCATCAGTAACCAATTGATCATGCAATAATGCAGTCAATATCTTTCTTGCTGATCTGATGAGTCTTTCATAGAAACCTCCAAAGTGTGAAGCTGTGGGAGGATTGAACTTGAATATGATATCACTTTGTCTGCAAAATTCTCCCATTTTACTGGAATTCCAAATTTGAATTTCTTTCTTCAACACTTTATTTCCAGCTGTAAAATTGCTCCCATTATCACAATAATGGTTGACATCTTGCCTCTTCTGGCAATGAATCTTCTTAATCCATTAATAAATGAATTGACATCCATACTATGCACAATTTCCAAATGCACTGCTCTAGTTGTTGCACAGGTTATTATCAAGCCCCATCTCTTCACAGAACTTCTTCCTTGCTTCACCAACAACGGTCCGAAGTTGTCAACTCCAACACATGTGAATGGTGGTTGATCTGGTGTCACACGCTCTTTAGGTAGGTCAGCCATAAATTGCTTACCCATCGAAGCATTTCTCTTTTTGCAAAAAATGCAATTACGAATATTTCGCTTTACAACAACAGCTCCATTGATAATCCAGAACTTCTGTCTCAGCAAATTCCATGTATGACTTGCTCCACAATGATGTGAACTTTTATGGTATTCTCTGACAATCAACTGTGTGATATGATGGTTACTTGGCAGTATTATTGGATGTTTCAAATCAAATTCTATGGGTGCGTTCTGCAATCTTCCACCCACTCTCAATATTCCTTCAATTAAAACAGGATTCAACTTTTGCATTGAAGGTGCAATTTTCAAATTTCTAAGCACACTTTTCCCTTGTACATCAGAATTTTGTAACTTTGCAATAACTTTATTCAACTCACAATTTTGTAAATACTTTATCAGCTCATTTTCGGATCTTCTCAACTCTTCTGTTTGCAATTCACCTTTTGAACAGTTGGTTTAGCTTGTAAATAAATTTTGAATCTGATAATCCATGCCGTAGCTTTCTTCAACTTATACCATGAAGAATAATAGTTGATAAACTTGTCCAAAGGTTCATTCTCTGTCACTAGATTAATAGACATTCATTGGCTTTTCAATAAATTCCAATGGTAAATCTGGTAATTTAACTGGCATTTGTGGCCAGTTCTCTTCATTCTGGTAGAGAAATTCTGGTCCTTGTAACCATGATTTCTTTGCAATCAATTTCTTTGCTGTCATTCCACGGGATGCATAATCCGCTGGGTTCAATTCACTTGGAACATAACGCCATTGATGTGGCTCTGAACCTTCTTCAATTTTTGCTAATCGGTTAGCTATGAAAGTAGGAAATCTTTTCGACGAATTGTAAATTGATTGGATAGTAGCTGTGCTATCACTCCAGAATATAGACTTAACATTCTTCTCAAATTTTAATTGACGTCTTAAAAACATATCCACTCGCACACAAAGCGCAGCAGCTGTAATTTCCAGCCGTGGAAGTGAACATATTGTCTTGATAGGACACAATCTTGATTTTCCAAGTAAAAATGAACAGTGTATCTGACCGTTTTCATCTGATAACCTCAAATATGAAACTGATCCATAGGCAACTTGTGATGCATCGCCAAAATGATGTAATTCTTGTGAAACAATAACCCCAAATGAATTCGGTTTAATGTATCTTGGTAATTTGACTTCTGATAAGTCTGGAATTGCTTTAGTCCAGCTTTCCCATGCTATTTGTTCATTTGCTCCAAGTTTCATCCCATCCCAATTGTTGACGACATAACTCTTGGAATATAAGTCTTGCTTGCAATATCACAGGTGATACAATACCCATGGGATCAAATACGGAACTAAGAATTGCTAGAACTCCTCTTTTCGTAGCAGGTTTTGTCTTCAGCTTTGTATTAAATCCAAAGCAATCTTCTATCACGAACCACACAACTCCCAAAACTCGTTCAAACGATTTGGGTCTAAATTTACGTTTGCTTGAATTTGTGCTCTATCCTTTTCTGGAACACAAGAAATAATTTCTTCTGAATTACTCCTCCATTTGTTTAAATGAAAACCTCCACATTCAGTAAGTTCTGAGGTTTGCTTGACAATTCTCTTCCCTTCAGATATACTATCTGCTCCAAGTAGGAAGTCATCTATATATGAATTATCTTTGATATTGTCACTTATATCTGATGGAAAGTCTTTTCCAAAATCTTCTGCAGTTCTCCTTAAACAGTAATTTGCACAAAATGGACTTGATGTATTTCCAAAACAATGCACTAACATCTGATGATCGACAGGAGTTTTTGTCAAATCTCCATCAGGCCAAAATAGGAATCTCAATGCATCAACATCCCTAGGCGTTACACGAGCTTGTAAGAACATAGCTTCTATATCTGCAGTTATACCATATTTGTACATTCTGAAACGTAGCAAAACAGATAACAATCCATTTGCCATATCTGGACCTTGCAGTAATTGATCATTCAGTGATGTGTTCAAATATCTTGCACCTGCATCAAATACCAGGCGTACTTTACCAGGTTTCTGTTCTGATGTAACGGGTTGATGAGGAAGATACCACGCTTTACCAATGGGTGCTTCAAATTCAGCAGCAGGAATTTTCCTTGCCCATCCTTTCTTTATAAATTCAGCCATGGTACTGCAATATTTGTCCCTTAAAACATCATTCCTCAACAAGCGTTTTCCCAAATTGTTGGTTCTTCTCATAACTGCATCACGATTATTAGGAAATTCAGGACATCCTGGTTTCCATGGTAACGGAGATTGGTAATGTCCATCCACCATCTTTATATTATCTTCCATCAGTTGTAATGCATACTTATCTTCTCTTGACAATGTTGGTGTGGGAGTCAATGATATATCTTTGAAATCCGTTTCCCACATCTCTCGAATTTGTTGTTGAAGATCTTCACTTTTCACTTCAACATGATTAACATGTACATGAAAACTTTCATTCCCAGAAGCTTTATTAAAGGCAGGCCCGACCAGTGACCAACCAAGAATACTTCTTTTTGCAACTGGTTCATTTGTAGTACCACGCTTTCATCTTTTACCCAGAATACTTCAGGTACATTCACGCCAATCATGAGCATCACTCTTTCATCTGGTAATTTTGGAAATTCAATACCCTCGAGATATTCATGCCTTTGTAATTCAATCCTTTTAGGTAATTTATTCGGTACTGTCGGAATTTCATCCACAGTGAGCACACGATGTAATGTCACACAACCTTCCCCTTTCAGTGGTTTAACAGTTAAGTCAAGAGCGAATCCATCTTGTTTCTGTGGATTCGGTGTGTTTACAGTAGTAATGGAATAACTCATTGGTTCACCATCCATCTCTAAAAGTTCCATCAATCTTTTATCACATAGACAAGAGGTGCTTCCCTCGTCTAGGAAACAGTATACTTCAATTTCTCTACCTTGAGGTGAGGATACTTTCACTGGAACTATATTCAAGTATACTCCAGCTGAATTTCTGGTATAGTTCGTTAAGGTCGATCCCGATGTAGCAGTTTGAGTAGCGGAACTTGTACTTTGCTCTTTTCGCTTAGTATCTGCAACATTTCGATGAAGCATTCTATGATGTCTGCCACCACATCCTCTCTCAGTACATGCAGGATTCTTACGACATTGCCGTGCCATATGACCAATGTATAAACAGTTTCTGCAAATATGAAATTCACGAATTGTAGCCTCGCGTTCACTTGCAGATTTTCTTTCAAACTCTGGACAATGAATAAGAAAATGATCTTTTGAACAGATAACACATCTGTATCTATTTCTCACAAATGTACCTTTTCTCTCGGTAGATTGTTCAGGTTTGCCATCACCACTTGTTGAAGTGGAATTTGCATAAATTCTCTTCTTTTGAGGGTGTTTAGCCTTTTCCCTCTCTTTATGAGCTCTCATAGCTTTGCCCATCGATGATTGTGCCGTAATTGCTGCTTTCTTGACAAACTTTAAAAGATGTTCAAATTTTAGTTCAATGTTTCTATTCTCATAATCTGCTGCCTCTTCTTCCCATTTATTATGGTACTTCAGGGGTAATCTACATGAAAGTTGAGCAATATTGTCAAAATTATTTAGATCTGAATATTGCTTCCAATGCGACAGCGTTAGGTAACATTCTTCCATTTTATGAGAAAGATCCAGAAGACTATCTCGATCATCTGGTTTCAACATTGGACCATGTATTAACTCTTCCATATAAGTTCTGGCAATCAACAATGGTCTTCCGTAAGCTTCTCTTAGAAGTCTCTTTGCTAAAGTCAATCCTTCTGTAGGAGGATATACAGAACATTGACGAATCAATTCTCTTGCTTTACCTTTGCAAAATGTTGCAAGTAAGTAAGTCTCAGATTGTCATCTGAAATCTTGTTCTCAATATTTATCTTGAAACTATTCATGAATCTTGTATATTCTTCATGAGAACCATGAAACGAAAGTAATTCTGGTTTAGGTAAATCTACCATGTCACGCATTGTAGATGTCATAGTAGCAAGAATTGAGCCAACATCTTGTGATGGCATATTAGGTACTTCTACAGGACTCACCAAATTAGCCTGTCTCGTTCCACCTTGTCTAGTTCGAAATTCTTGATTAACGGGATTCATCACTTCCGCAACCACTTCCTGGACCGGATCCAGGGATAATCTAACTTGTGGCTCTCTAGGAGGCACAATACAATTGGTTTGACCCACTTGAGGTGTGTTTACTTCAGCCCGTGCTGCTTCACATTCTACCAATTGTGCTATCGGTGGTCCAGAATCCATTTCTTGAAACTGAACCCTTTCATTGCGATTAGAGCCTATTTCCCACACTTCCGCCTCTACACATGCGGCTTGATATTCGTGTATAGCTTGTACTCGCCTTATTTCTCTCTCTGATGCTGATTTTAATTCTTCAGCTTGTTCCAACTCTGACAGTTGCTTCATTTTCAATTTTGCAAGTTCTCTGACAGCTATTGCCTCAGTTCTCTTGTAACTGGAACTTGTACTTTTGTAACTCGATGCTGTCCTTGCAGATCGAGGTCTTGAAGATTTTCTACTAGCTATAGATTGTGGTTTTGATGGAGGATTCTCAACGATTTGTGTGCTTTCTTGTCTGGAAAGCCACTCTTCAACATGTGCTTTGAACTCTTCATATCCATAACTTTCTCTCTGGAAAGATTCTTTAGCTACTCTTTGAGCCTCTTCATCTACTGGCAGTTCTGCAACATGTATTTCATAAGCTTTAGAATACTCCACAAACATTGCATCTATTTCTTTTACTTGTGATGTAGAATCTTATTTCTTGGATTCAACATCAATTCTTCTGCTGATCTATACTGACCATTCAGATCAGCCAATAAACGTTCCAGTTCTTCTGTGAAACTGGTTTTGCAGCCATTTCGACTTTTAAGTGACTTTCTTCACTCAATCTAGGATCAATTGAAAAGTTTGATATCTTTCAATTGCTGCTTACAATACTCTGGTTTGATTTCGAAATAGAAAACTTCAGTTTTCCTTCATTCGAAAACTTTAATGTTGCGCTCGATTCTATGTAGCCTGGTTACTTCTCACGCACATTAAGAGATTGGAGACTTCAAAAACGCGTCCCAATACCCCAGTCCTGACCCCAAACCTATATCGGTTAATTGTTACAACTAGTCCGTGCTTTCAAGCAATTAAAGTCTGTAAACAGCGGTTAAAGTGCCGCCAAGATTCTTCTGTGCCTTCAAATGCTGCCCCAATATAATTCAACTTGAATCGGTGAATATCTTTAATAACAATCAACAGACACTTCAAATCAAATCTCGAAACATGAATCAGGAAAATAGAACTTGCCGAGGTACCGAAACGGAACGTTGTTTAATGGAACGTAACGTAAATCTTTGATACCGGGTATGAGGAACGTAAAGGAACGTTGTTAATGGAACGTAACGTAACGTTGTTTAAAGGAACGGTTTTCTGCCAAAACAACAGACAAACTAAATAGCCCATATGGCACAATTATCGAATATACAGCACCACCATTTTTACAAGCAACAACAATTCACATTAATTAGCAGATAACCATATGTCACAACTATGTACAGATTAAATCACACAGGATAAAATAGTATTCACAATACTAAAATACAGAATAAATCATACAAGATAAAACAATATTTACATACCGAATGTTTAGGATCTCCAGGCAACTCAATTCAACAATTTTAATCCAAGTAAATACAAACTTAACTTATGTGACTAAATATAAAAAACAACAGTATTCATTCTATTTGGACTATAATACAACCCTAAACCTGTATCCCTACATTATATTACAACTCCCGTATGAACCCTTGATTTTAAACCCCAATTATAATTTCCATTCGAATCGTTTATCCTAACCGCAAATAATAAACCCAATATTAAACACGATAAACTCCTCTAGCGCAATAGATTAACACTGTTATACAAGGACAGACGGTGCCAACTCATCGAAGCAGCGTGGCGATAATTTAGAATTCCCGGGATTAATCGAGAAACAGAACTCTGTCGCAATAATGCTGCGTCGATACGTTTGAAACGTCTGCGTAACAACGTAAAACGTCATCAAATTAGAAACACTTTATGATTCTCGCTAACATAAAATATTTTATTGTCTGTGATGTCACGGCAATCGAACAATCGGCACGCATTGAGAGATCTGTCATTATATCCTTGTTAAATTACAAATTGAACCTGTCATCTCGTACCTTTTCAAACTTTTGCATTATTTATCATTTTTGGCATTTGCTTTTTAATACCTTTGACATAAACTATCGAAACATGACTCAAGTTCTTCTCCTATTCCCAAACCGGATACCGTTATGCAAATATTATGAACATGACCTAAGACAAGTATAAAAATAGAAGCTGTTATGGCTTTTACCAGTAGCTTGTCTTCAGGATATCTTTTTGTTAATAAACTAAAAGCATGTACATAATATCGAACATAAGTCAATTTACGTCATGCTGATGTTTTGAACTTATCGTATCGTTTGCAGGAAAGCAAAACTAGAAGTTATCTTCGCTCCTACATTCACCAGATACAATTCCTAATAAATGTCATTTTTCCTGTCCATTTTGCCCTGTTCGACATATTATTTGGGATGTAATTCGTAGGATGATGCTTCGTAATGCTGTGCAATCCATTACGCTTATGGACTACTTATGAATTAATTTTATCCTACTTTCAATGATATTGGCAGGTTATTTCTGATAACATTCAGTCCAAGCCAAGTGCGAGTATTCTTGTTCCAGCTATCCCACTTATTGTTAGTGGAAAATAACTAAATATTTTGACCTTTATGGTCAGTCGATATGTTGTCATAAGTCCTAAATACTTGGCCGAAAATAAATAAACCCAGTGCACATGTGTGAAATACAAGAAGAGCATTACAGTAGAATTTAATAATTTGCCAGAACCGTTTTCAACTAATTTAATCAAAATAAATATTAAAAAACAATTGTCAAGAGAAAAAAACATAAAAAAAATTAAAATAGCGTGGAACACGGTCTTTAAACGGGATTTAAATATTAATTTTTTTAATTTATTACCTCTTATTAACAATATTTAAAAAATATACCCGTCAGTCCAATTTGGACTAATAGTTGATTCAATTACGAAAAACTATTCAATTCACTTATGGAATCAAAAGCTTTTATTTGGTGAGCGTACTAGCAGGCTATTTCCATGCTAAAATTATTCTAAAGTTTAGTGGTGTTGGCTAATCCTATATAATTTAGTACAACACGAAAATAAGCACACGATAATTGCAAACATTTTATTAAATATTGTCATACAGGTATTCTGTATTAGGGATTAATAACGCAATAGAATATCTAAATAAA